ACAGAGACGGAGAATGAGTATGAACTGGGGCTGGAGGTCAGAGGAGAGAGACACAGACACGGAGAATGAGTATGAATTGGGGTTGGAGGTCAGAGGAGTGAGACACAGACACGGAGAATGAGTATGAACTGGGGCTGGCGGTCAGAGGAGTGAGACACAGACACGGAGAATGAGTATGAACTGGGGCTGGAGGTCAGAGGAGTGAGACACAGACACGGAGAATGAGTATGAACTGGGGCTGGAGGTCAGAGGAGTGAGATACAGACACGGAGAATGAGTGTGATTTCGTCTGTGCTGTGGGTGGATCACAGCTCCGCAGTGACGAGCAGCAGCAAAAGGGAAAGATTCTGATTTTGACTGGTTTTGAAATATTCTCAGTTACTGACAAAGCATTGTTCCCATCAATGAATGGAAACAGCTCCAGATTGAAATGCTGGCTAGGACACAGCTACTGTCCTTGGTCAGTGACTCTTTTTGTTCCATGTAGAAATACCCAGTGAAATATGGAGTAGGAAAGTGTTGGACTGACAATGGCCCGGCTATCCCTGTGGTCTATGATTTTGGTGACACCAAGAAAACAGCATCTTATTACTCACCTTATGGCCAGGGTGAGTCTTTAATGCTCCTCTGATCTCTCAGTGGGAAGTTTCAGTTATGATTGGATTCACTGAATGCATTCAGACCTATCAGGTGACAGTCATTTATCACCAACCACACCCTGGTTCTCCTGTGTGGGTGTTCCCTGTGATGTTCCTCATAGTCTGCTGCCTGCCTTTGGGTCTAAGCCATCATTACCCTCAGTTTAGGAACCTGAAGCTCTGAGAGGGTCAGCAGCCTGCTGAGGTCACAGGGAACACATGTGAGGGAGCTGGCGCTGGACTGAGGAAATCTGGCTCCACACTCTTTACTCCTGAGAATCCCACTGTGAGGCCTTAGAGAGAGTTAGGACCAGACCAAGCTCGTGTGCACAGGGTACAACAACCAACAAGATGGCAAGAACTTTTATTTGTTATTTTGAGAAATAACCTATCATTTTGTGTGAATTTAAAGTTTACAGCTTAATATATTTCACAGAGGCTGAGCCTATCCTATAAAATTCAAAGTTGCTATCATTTACATTTGGGATTTGAGATATTAAAATAAAGGAGAATAAGAAAAGTGTAAACAGGAACACAGTTGGTGTATCTCCTAATTGCTGCCACTGTGCCCTGAGGGACTCCCATGATGATCTTCCTACACAGTTGAATTTCTCTTCATAAGCCTCTAGTCAATGAGGGGCCTCCCCTGAGGACAAGCTTTTGGTCCCTGGATTGTGAATATGTCCCTCCTGGTGAGGTTTAGGGCCAGGATGCACATCCATTGGTCACAGAGGGGCTGGACTGCACTGGTGTGGCTGGAGACTTGGGCTATAGCTAAGCTTTGGTATAGACTCTCTGGGCTGTCCTAAAGAAGGCTATTTCCAGCATCTTTCTTGAATGGTGTTTTCTACCTGTTGTTTACAGAGGAGTTCACTGCGGGATTTGTTCAGTTCAGGGTATTTAATAACGAGAGAGCAGCCAATGCATTGTGTGCTGGAATGAAGGTCACCGGATGTAACACCGAGCACGTGAGTCTCTGTGGGACCCAAGGGGCTGTAAGATTGAGTGTATCACTGTGTGCTGCAGCTGTGGTGTGAGTGTATGTGCGTGGGGGACATTTCCTTGCTCATTGTTGGGAGAGCTGTGGGACTCTTTATGCAGGTACAGACATCCTGTACATTTGGGGATCAATATCGGGGGCTGAGGCCTCCAAAGAACCACTGCTGTGTGCTCCGCCTTGGGGATGACACATGCAGTCGCCTGGCGCTGGGGTGAGGTTCCTATGCACAAATATTCTGGGAGCCTTTAAGAGCTGAGATTCTTGAAGAAAGAAAGGGTTGTCTTTCTTCAACTGAGGTTCAGCTTCCAGCTACAATTTGGGCCTCCCTACCCCTGGCAAGGCCTGTACAGTTACATGGTGTGAGTGTCACTGGAGGGTCCTGGGCATCACCTTCTAGAAACCTCACTCAGGCCATCCCATCATGTGCCCATGGGATAAACAATGGGTATCGGTGGATTTCAAAGATTTGAAATGGAATACTAGTTGAGTACAGAGGATGGAAAAGAAAAAAGTCTAGAATAACCTCCTGGTTTTCATTTGGGTAAATGAGTGTCATTTATTGTCTGGATGATGAACAGTTTTGGGTCCATGAGAAATATTTAACTCTGTTGTGGTCATATGGAGGTTAAGATTCTCACGTGGAGACCCAGGTTGGATTTCAAGATGTTCAGTGCGAGAAGCACCTGGATAGGAGATAGAGATTGGGGGTGACAGTGAATTGTTGTAACTGACACCAATGTGGCCATGCAATTTATAAGGGACAGGGAGGTCCACCCTCTATGGAGGAGCAGCACTTAAAGAATTCCTGAAGGGAGAGTCTAGCCAGGAATATGAGAATGAACATTCAGAAAAGTTGGAGGAAAGTCAGGAACAGACAACGAGGTTCCTAAAGCGAAGGTGTAGAGGTTTCTATGGAGGAATAGATCAGCACTGCCAGTGGAGCGTCTGATGAAGACCAATGATTCCACTGAATGTCGCCATTAGGATGTCATCAGCCTCACCAGCGGATCTCTCTTCCTCTCTCTGTTTCCCAGCACTGCATCGGTGGAGGAGGGTTCTTCCCGGAGGGCAATCCCAGGCAGTGTGGGGATTTCTCCTCCTTTGACTGGGATGGATACGGAACTCATGTTTATGCCAGCAACAGCCGGGAGATAACAGAGGCAGCTGTGCTTCTGTTCTATCGTTGAGAGTGCTGTGGTGGGGGCTCAGTCCTCTCCTCCTAAATGGGGGATCCCAAGAATGGAGGACAACTTACCAACTAGATTGGTAATGGCAGAAGAGAAGAGAATAAATAATATTGATTCAAGAGTTTCTTTGGTGTTTCTTTGAAATCTTTTAGGAGTTTTGAAAAGAATGTCTACCACTGTGGTTGACTCTCCTTGAATCAGTTTTGTGCTTGGAATGTTTGGGTTTAGGAATTCTGAAAGAGAAACATGTCCCCCTCCCCCCCACATTTCAGAGAGCCCTTAAAGAGCCAGAGGAAGAAAGGGCAGGAGGAAGCATTTTATCTTAACCCTTCCTTACTCACATGGACTGATTAATTTGCATCCTCAACCTGAAGATTATAAAGAAGAAAAGAGTCCATTTTGGTGGGTGCAGAGTTAAATATTGGATATAAAGAGATATATCCAATATTCCCATCTAGTATATTCCAGCCTTAGTGGTTGGGGTATTCTCTCTCTCTCTCTCTTTCTCTCTCTCTTTTTTCAGATTAAAAGAGGGCACATATGATTATGTTACATAAATTGCATTTTTTTTTTTTTTTGAGACAGAGCCTTAAGCTGTTCCCCTTGGTAGAGTGCTATGGCTTCACTGCTCACAGCAACCTCCAACTCCTGGGCTCAAGCGAGTCTCCTGCCTCCGCCTCCCAAGTAGCTGGGACCATAGGCGCCTGCCACAACACCCAGCTATTTTTTGGTTACAGCCATTATTGTTGTTTGGCGGATCTGGGCTGGATTCGAACCCGCCACCTTATGTGTATGTGGCTGGTGCCTTAGCCACTTGAGCCACAGGCACCGAGCCATAAATTGCATTTTTAAGGTTACAATCCTAGTTGTAGCTGTGTCCTTCACCCAGGAAGTGTGCCAGATACCTGTGCATTGTACCTGTGGGGGGAGTTACTGAACCCCCTTTCATCCCTCCTACCCACTTGAATTTAATTGTATAGAAGCTTAATTTCACAAGTCCAAAGATGTGGAAACAACCCAAGTGCCCTGCTACACATGAATGGATTAATTGTGGTATTTGTATACCATGGAATACTATTTGGCCATCCCCACATGTACTTGTGTGGAAAAGTGGAAAATATTGCTGAATTCCCAAGATTCTAAATTGAATTTCAGTTGAATACAGAGGATGAAAAGAGAAGAACTCTAGAATAACCTCATGGTTTTCATTTGGTTAAACAAGTGTCATTTAGCAAACTAGAGTGTCTCAATGATGAACAGTTTGGTTATACTTGAGGTTTCTATCTGAAGACCCAGATTGGATCTTGAGGTCATTATCACAAGAAACATCAGGATAGGAGATGGAGACTTGGAATCCTAGTGAATTGTTGGTACCTGAAGCCAACATGGCCATGGAATCTATAAGAGACAGGGAGATGTGTCTTATACTGAGAAGCAGCACTTAAAGAATGCCCAAAGGAAAGTTCCTGCCAGGGAAACTGAAAATTAATGTTCAGGAAAGTTGGAGGAAAGTCAGGAGCAGACAATGAGGTCATTAAAGCTGAAGGTGTAGAGGTTTGTATGGGAGGAATTGATCAGCACTCCCTGTGGAACACCTGATGAGGACCAAAGACTCCACTGGATGTCACCATTAGGATGTCCTTGGCCTCACCAGCAGACCTCTCTTCCCCTCCTTGTTTCCCAGCACTGCATCGGTGGAGGAGGGTTCCCAGAGGCCCATTCCAGGCAGTGTAGGGGTTTCTCTGCCTTTGACTGGAAGGAATATGGAACTCATGTTAGTGCCAGCAACAACCGGGAGATAACGGAGGCATCTGTGCTTCTATTCTACCATTGAGAGTGCTGGGGTGGGGCCCAACCCTCTTCTCCCAAACAAGGTATCCGAAGGATGGAGAACAACTTTCCATCTAGATTGCTAATGGCAGAGAAGAGAATAAATCATATGGATTCAGGGATTGGTATTTTTGTGAATTCTTTTCCTAGAATGGTGAAGCACTTTCAGAGTTTTCAAAAGAATGTCTACCGTTCTGGTTGATTCTATTTGAACCACTTTTGTATTTGGAATATCTGGGGTTAGGAATCCTGATAGAGGAACATGCCCTCCCTAAACAATTTTAGGTACCCCTTAAAATAGCAGAGGATTAAAGAGCAGAGGGAAGCATTTTATCCCAACCCTTCCTAACTCACAGGGACTGATAAACTTGCATCCCTAACCTGAAGATCCTAAACAAGAAAAAAGTTCATGTTGGGAGTTCACCAAAGAATAAAGACATACACCCAATACCCCTACCTGGTAGGGGCTAAACTAATTGGGGCTTTCTTATTAGGGAAGGACAGGGCTGGCAGACTATGATGATAGTGACTCACCTTGAGTGGAGCCTTCCCCGCTCCTGGGCTCCCACCTGCAGGGACTTATTCAAAAAGGAGCCAAGTGGCTGAATCATCCTCAATGTGTAAGTGGTGCAGATTGGATGAGGATGACATTAGTTCTGACCCATGACCGAATATTAGACATTTGATTAGGTTTCCTCTGGAGTGCAAATCTGATTATAACAAGCCCTTCTGATTCTCCCCCACCACCTCCAACATCCATTACCTCTCACTGGTTAGAATATGAAGGTAAAAGTTTTTAGGCCATAGGGAGATTAGAAGAAGAGGAAGCAGAGGAGGGGAAGAAGAAGGGACACGGGAAGAGGGAGAAGTTTGCTTTAAAGATATTTGGAAGGGTTCCCTTTGTTTTAACTAGGTTTATTTAGGCCTGGGTTTGGAATTGTTACTGTTCTCTCTACAGTCTTTCTTCCTTTATTGCACTTGTTTCCTGCTGTGCATTCTTTCCCACCTTCGCTCTTACACCTACCCCCTTTCTCTAGATAAATGTGTCTGCCCCTCATCACTCTCACCTCCCACTAAACAAGACAGTAAAAAACCAGAATGAGTTTTCACCTCTCATTTGTGTTCCCCTGTGTGTGACTCACCTGTGTGCCAGACACTGTTGGCTGAGAGCGCATAGGACAGTGGTGGGACAGATGAGTGAACAGTTTCGTCTGCTTCACATACTCCTTTCTTCATTCATTCCAACAATATTTATTGAGTGTGCACTGTCTCCTGGGAAAGGTGCTAGGAATGCAGTTGTAGAGAGGACAGATGAACCCAATTTTAAGCTGCAGGTAGCAGAATCCATGGGCCCTGGGATGCAAGGTGATAAGGATTCAAATGAGAGCCTCCCAGGGGTCTGTGGGGCACAGAGGAGCAGCCCCCAATCCAGAAAAGTATGATAGGGGGACTTCTCTGAGAAGGTGACTTTACCTTAATTCTCCCTTCCACCCTGGTATGTCACAGAGATCCCTGAGCTGGGAAAGTTTTCACCTGTCCTTATTTCCATCACGTCCCACCTCTGCTGAAGGAAGTTTTTAGAGGTCCAGGCTGCAGAGTCAGGTATAATTAGTATCACTTTGGTTCCCTAAATTCAGCTGACTTTTGAAAGCATTGTTGTATGTCAGAGTCTCAGTTTCCTTTATCTGTAAAATACAGTTAATAGTAGTATAGTAATAATGTTCTCCTGTGTGGTTCTCATTTTATATGTGGTATTCATAAAAAGTAAATGAAATGGGAGGATGGGTGGAGGGAGGTACCCCAACCACACCTACAGTGCGTTTTACAAGGGTAAATGTTAAATTTACTAAGTGTAGAATAAATGTCTGAACACAATAACTAAGAAAATGCAGTGAAGGCTATGTGAACCAGTTTGATGTAAATATTTCTTTCTTTTTTTTTTTTT